TTTTTTTTTTTGAGCAAATTCATGTGTCTTCTTCACTTAGATGTGAAGAAACGTAGTCACATTTTTCAGGACGTCTGTCATCTAACAGAAACAAAAGAATATGCCAGCCTATATTGCTTCCAAAATAAAAGCTATTACATGGATTTGAGAGGTTGGCTAACATATCAAGATTGATTTGACTGATGCACGAAATGCTCAGGAGAAAAATCATGCAACATAGAGGAAGCTTAGAGGGAGAACAAGTTTAATAAAAAATTACTGTATTTACTTGCTTAGAACATGAGGTTTTTTCCACCCTCCCCCATTTGACATGGAGGGAAAGCCTCTTGCCTTACAATCAAGCACAAAGCGGTGGGGGAGGAGAGGGGGGGCAGCCAGCTGCTGTGGCTCCAGCTCCAACCTGAGGAAAGGGCGTGGCACCCTGAGGCTGTAGGCAGCAGAAGCAGCATGGAGCAGGAAGAAGGGAACAGGAAGTCAGGGCAACCTGAGGCTGGGGGTGGGGTGGGGATGAGGTGCACAAACCAGGAGTCAAAATTTATTGTAGTAAGTCAATAGGGACAGGAAAGGAAAACCCTTGTTTTGGACATCTTATAGACCAAGTAGATAGGAAATATTTTCACCTGGCTTTACAGATGGAGAACTGAAGCTCCAGAAGACCAAGAGTTCCTTGTCCAAGGTCACCCAGGGTGTGTGCACCAGAGCCAACAACTGATCTTAGACCTTCTAAGTCCTAAGCCAGTGTCTTAACACCAGCCAATCCTTTCTCTCCCAGGCATGCTGAAGAAGCCTTTTTTTTCCTATGAAATTAAGTAACTAGAGTCAGCTACTGTTACTCAACCTAGTCATCAGTGGTTTGATGATTATATCTAAGTGCTATTGCAGAAATGAGTATTTAAGAGTGATTTGATGGATGAATAATAGGGACATAGAAAGCCTCTGCCTACACTTTTTACTTTTTCATTTTCTATGAGATATAGCATAGCTGCTATAAATAGATACTTAAGGGAAATACAGTATTCTTCTCTCGACATGTCTCAATAGAACTGCACAGTTCTTTACCCATCAAGCTCTACATCCAGCTGCTGAGCTTTATGAAGAAGTATTTGAGCAAAATGACAAGATCGTTTTGATTTTCAAAAAGAAGAATGGGTTATGCACTTACAAATAGGAACATTCTGGACCTGGTGTGTGCATAAGGCATTATTGTTGTAGAAATAACAGAGCAAACTCCCCTGCTTTGATTCCAAGTGCATTAATTTGGAATTGGTAAACAGTTGGAATTGTTTGAAAGATGGCTTTCTTCCATATGCCTTATCTTGGAGACATAGTGACGGACAGAGCTGTTAAAGTACTAAAAGCAACGGGATGGCAGATTTTTTTATACAGAATTGATTGAGTCATTCAGAACATTTTAAATGGTATCCAAAATCCTATTTTCCTTTCATTGAGGTCTAGCATCTTGTTTTATTGCTGCTGTGTGAGGCATGTAACCAGTGGGCTGAAGGGAGGGACCTGTCTCTCCCTGCAACCCATTGTCCAGCTGTGCTATATTGAGCAATGCTGTATACACCTCCAAAGGTGGAGCAAAAGCCAGGATACTTGTCTCAGCACCGGTAAAGTATTATGCCTTTTAAAGCACAGTGGGTCAGATCACCTGTGCGTGTAAATTGTTGTGGCCACTGAAGCTAGAGAAACTGCTGACTTATAGATTTACAGTAGCTGAGGATCTGTCCCCATATTTCCAAGCCCTGCTGCTGAAGCAGCAGTCATCTTCTCTTTGCATCTTTCTTGACGTATTTATAGTGCACTTATCTCCATGGTATCTGAGAACCTTACAAATGCTCACATTTAAAAATATCACTTTGCTGTTCTCTTCTCTTCCTCCCCATTATTGCTGGGATTCTTTTCTGCTGCAGAATTGAAAAAGTGTATTTTGCATGTGTAAATGATGGTATTGAGGAAGTGTGTTGCCCTAGGCCTTTAGGCTAACTCTTGAGAAAGCGCTCTCATTCTTCTGTCGTTGGGAGTCTCAGTGGTGAAGTTCATGCCCTCTTTGTGACTAAGCAACACAAGCATTGTGGGCACGTACAGTTACATAGGCTGCTTGAGCCAGCGCTGTTGAGAGCAGTGAATATTAACACTTCAGCTTTAAGTGTGATTTGGTATTCAAGTAAGGAAGCCAATGCCGTATAGTATGGTGAAGGTATGATTTAACGATGAAACTTTAAGCATTATCCTGTGTAATGATTTCTCTTTTTAATTTTCTGTTTGTTAGCTGCTTTTCCCTACATAAGATGTTTTACTGTGCAGTAGATTAATTACTGCACATTAAAACATAACCATATAACTATGCACAACAGCTACTGTGCAGTAAATTAGTCTACTGCACAGTTAAGTAGTACCTGTAAATACGGGTACTAAACTAACTGCACAGTAGGGCTCATGTAGATGTTGACCAGGAGTTAGAAGCCAATCAGGGTGGGGACCCAGGTCCCTCTTTGTCCCCTGCTGTTCCTGTGCTGCAGGTCTCCCGGCTTCCCACAGGAGTGGGGAGCTGAGCAGCTCTGGGACTGGTGAGCTGTTGCTTCCATCTTGAGCCAGAGGCTGGCCAAGAACTGCCCAGCTAGTGGCTTGCTGCCAGCTGTCCCATGGGCTGATTGGAGCAGGGGGTTGGAAAAGTGCCCCCTCCCCCACAACTGTTTACTGATTGGGGCAGGGGTGGGAACACTTTCCCAGCCCTCTGCCCTGGGGCTGGAAAACAGCTGCCCCTCACCCTTCTGGAGCCCGGGCCCTATCCTGGTGTCCCATGCCAGCCTAAGGCTGGCACCTGGGGGAGCTTAGAGCTCCCCCTGGCTGCCTTATGGCAGGAGAACAGGGCAGGAGTATCCCTGCCCTGAACTCCTCCTGTTGGGAGTATTTTACTGCCCAATAAGCTTTCTGTGGAATTAATGCACATGTAGACACAACCCCTGTGGAACTTATACTCACTTTTCTTATAGATTAGTCATACTTGGACATCTGGAGCAAATTCACTTTCTAAGGGGAGTTGATTTCCACTTGGCGCTTGTTCCCACAGGGAAGCTGGAGTGCAGGAAGGTAGAATATGAATTGACAGGGCACAAGCTAATCTGCAGTAAGAGTGGAATTCTGTTTCCCTGGCTGTGCACCTAAATGTCAGTTTTCTAGCCAAGAACCTGGTATTTTTGGCACTTATGCACAGTTTTAAATTCTGTTACTCTGCAGTGTTGACACACAAGTGTGTGGTCATAGACTTAATTGGCCAGACAGCTATGCTGCTACATGCACACATGAGCCCCAGAAAGAGCAGGAGTATTTTAGCTCCAAAATCGAGTGACTTAGGCTCAACCTGGGAAACTGAAGACTGGGATCCTAAGCCCCTCTTAACCTAGTAGGGACTTGAACCTGTGTTTCTCTAAGTTCTCAGCCTGGGGCACAAACCACTGTACCCCAGGTTGTCAATGTGTGGATACAATTCTATGCCCTGCTCTTAGCCCAGGGAGCCACCTTCAAAAGGAGCAGTAAAATAAACAACATATAATGCCTAACTTGTGGCATGAGGTTTTGAGCATTGTGCTAAAATGTTAGTGATGAACAGATTCAAATCCCCTGTGGTCACAGAGGTTGGGGGATTAGAACCTATCACTTGAAACTTCCTAGGTGAGTGATTTAGCTACGTAGCTATTGGTAATGAAGCATGGGAAAAAGTCTCTTCCTTTAGCTAACGCTTGTTAGTTATGGGTTTCTGGCCAGTTATGTTTTCATGACATAGACATTGGTATGTATCCACAGTGGGTGTACCACATGCCTGCACAGGCAGTATTTATAGCCTATAGTCTATGCATGTGTGCTTATCTGTCCACAGTAGATTCCCTACCTGTGCATAAATGGCAAAAATGGTAGGTATGTGGCTAGAAAACTGTTACATAGCTATACAGGGAAATAAAGCTTCTCCCTAACTCTGTCCCTGGCAATTCCTGGTGTGCACCAAGGTGTGTTCCTTTGTATATATAGTATATCCTCAGTTATCTGAACCCTTGGTAATCTGAATGACAACATTTTTCGTACTAACTTGTAGTTGTTGGTATTATATAGGAATTTGTTCTCTTCCAGGCTTTATTTCTCACAAGTACTTTCAAGCTTGATACAGTACTGTAATTTGTAGCTGTTGGTAGTATATGCTTTTCCTTTTTAAACTTTTTTAGTACATTTCTGTATCCCTAATCCTTTTCCAAATGAATTCATTTGTCCAAACAGCTTTACACCATCCACTTTCCATGGGGATTTGGATAACTGAAGATGGAGTGTAGTAGCTTACTCCACTTTCAGAGTGGAGTGAGCTACCTTGTTCTAAGTGTGCACTAGGAATGTCCTCATGAGAAGATGATGTGGAGTAGCTACTACACTACAAGTTCCTACCCTAGTTTATTACACTACCATGTAGATGAGGTGGTGTCAAAGATATGGCCTGTGTCACTCGACTTATGGGGTTGCCTGTAGACTGGAAATTTGTTGGTCAGATGAGCAGCAGCTGCTGCAGCATCAGGAGGCACAATGCAGTTGTCACTTGTCCCACTGTCAAATTTGTCTCCATGGGCAGCTCCACAGAGCAGATGTCACAGCTCTGCACTCTGGATCTGGAACACAGGGAGCCCTGTATTATTAATCTGGCCTATAGGGCCAGGTGTCTTGTAGATAAGCCCTTATGCAAATCCCCTTATATTACCCTGAATGAGTTCTTAATGGGATAGGCTTGTGAAGCGACAGTTTTTAACTCATTTGGAGCTGGCATAAGGGTTCTGCACAAACTCTGTTCTCAGTCCATAATGAAGAGGGTGGATTGATGGTATGTTGGGGATGTAGCCAGTATATATTGCACTATGTTTATTCTATGCTTTTCAGGTCTTTGAGTGGGCATAAGGGTTCAGAGTATGGCTAGGGACAGACATTCAAAAAACCTGAGCCTGAATTGATTTAATCTTTGCAGGTTAGTCTAACCTGGCTAGGCTGAGCCAGTTTGTAATTGCACAGTCCTCTGGACTGAAGAAATACAGGCACATGCCTGCAGTGGCTCAAGGTAGAAGCCAGGGACACTAGAGCAGCCCTCCCTCCCTTCCAGAGTGCTCAGCTGAGGGGAGGCATGGCCAGGCCCTCAGGACCCTCTGATTAGGGAGGGGTTCCCTCCCATTTCCCAACCAGCAAGGGGGTACACAGTATTTACTTACACAGCAGTGAATTACACGGGGAGTTGTTAGCATTTATCAGCCCATCAGACAACAAAAGTCTCTCTCATTAGTTCAAGCTCTTCTTAAATAACTTTCTCCAAGGAAGGATCAGAGGGATGTTACCAGCTACCTCTGGATTAGCTCCAAAAAACCCTAAGCCAAAACTGTGCTGTCTGCCTTGTCTTGTCTTCCACAGCACAGACTAGCCAGCATATAGTATTCTAGCTAATGCTAAGAGATGTCTGTGTAAGGCAGAGGGGAGGGGGGAATCCCTGCTTGAGCAGGGAGTGGTGAGGGGAGTAGGAGGAAGCCAAGAAGACGTTGCTGTACCTGCAGTCTCTGCTGGAGCTCCACCCAGGCAGCTGAGAGGAGGGGCCAGCCCTGATGGGCTGGAGCAGAAAGCAGAGCGCTGCTCAAAGTTGCAAAGCATCTGGGATGCTGGGGGAGTCTGGTTGAACTTAAACCAGGAAGGGGTTTGGTTGAACTTAAACCAGGACAGACATTGCATAAATCAGTTTGACCCAAATCAGTTAAATCTGGTACTACATTAACCAGTTTTATCTCAAACCAGTTTCAGTCCTTCTTAAGCTGGTTTATATGCACTGAATGTCTGTTCTGTTACAGGTTTAAACCAATTTCTGATCACTTAAACCAGTTTATTTGTAATATCTGTCTCCAGCCTATGAGTCAGAGCAGCCCAGGCTTTCTTCTGACTTACTCCAGAAGCCAGACTTCTGGAAAGACCCAGAAAACGGGAAGCACAAAAATGGCTAAAACACCAAAGTTCTCCCATTATCCTCCAAAGATCCCCAAAATGTAGGAACAGTACCTGAGAACCATGCTCAGTGATTATACAGCCAGGTTGAGCCAAACTCTTAATGGGGAGAGTAGGTCTATGTCAACTGGCTCCTGAAAAGTTACGATAATCACAAGGCTCTAAGCTTTAAAAGGGTTATTTTATAAATGCCATGTAGTCAGCTTTAAAAAGGGAAGGAGTTAAAAATCATTTACATTTTGAAGGCCCCAGCTAGTTTGTGGTTTTAGACTCACATTTTCCTAGTTTAAAATATGTTTTTGTCACCTCTGCTTTTGCTGAAAAGGTAGAGAGAGGAAACTGACTAACTGATTATAACATAGGGAAAACAGTGAAAGTGACTAACCTGTGTAGATGAAATAGTCCTAAATTGAAGTAGTGGGTTTTAAAAAATACCGCATCAATTTAGGGCTGACTAAACCCCCGTATCGTGCATACACCCCACTGACTTACCTGCCTCACCAGTGGAGAGGGGGGGTGAGCTGCTAGTGGATGGAGCAGTCCCTGGACTGTGGGGGGAGTTGGTGCTTCCCTCTGCAGCAGCGGTGCCCCCCCCGGGGCACCCGCCTGCAGGCACCCAGCTTGGGTGGTCCCGGGGGTTACCGCAGCCATGGAGGGAAGCACGCGGCCCCTGTGCAGCTCAGACAGGCAGGCTGAAACTCAAAGGAGTTTTAGTTTGCCACGCTCCAAGTCACTTAAGGCACATTACACCACCAAATTCCCTACAGCGGCTGGAATTAATGCGCAATACACTGCCAAGGTGTGCAAACGCCAACACCATTAAAGCAGTGCAAAAGCATTTAGCCCGCTTTGAAGTGTCATGTACACACACGTCTCATTTTGTCTACGCATGGCCTAAAGCACCAAGAAAGTAAATTTAAAAAATAGAGAAAATATTTTCCCTTTTACTTTTGCTCAAAAATTTTACTTTTTGGACACAAAAATAAATTGTTTGAAAAATAGTGTGATTTTTAGGTTTTATTCCTGAACCAGTATTTACTGGCAGTAAAGTCTTATGTATGACTAGGAAATATATAATTATTATTATTCTATATAAGATATTCTGTACCTTCAACATTTGACTTCATAGTACCTGTAAGTCTATATATGGTTTCATAAAGAGTTTCCAGTGAACTGAGTAATTTCTCTTCCCTTGTCTTTCCAATTCTACCTAGTTACAACTTTTCTGGCTATTTCTCTGATCCCTTTCAGTTATAGTTATTATAGGTTTTGTTCTGCCTTGTGTTGTTTCTAAACCTGCTTTTTAAACTGTAATGAGTATTTTTCAATATGTTAGATTTTGCTTCCTGTTAAGAATTCTTCCAAAAGAATTACAAACATAAAGAGTTGCTAAAATAATTGACTTGAAAAGGAATTATGGTTACTCACCTCAGGATTTAATTCAGGCATGTTACAGTAAGCAGGAAAGATGCATTTTTTAAATATTTTAAATGCAGTACCTGAGAGTTGTTTTTTAGAGACTTATTTCTCACCAGGTTTTGTTTTCTTTCCAATAGTATATCCACATTAATTCCATAAAACCTTCATCAATATCAACATTAGGGAAAGGTGAAGTGATCATTGAAGGAAGAAACTTCACACAAGCACCAGATTTGAAGGTGGTGTTGACTGGGCCTGGTGGCTGTAAACGAAAAATGTGAGTCAGACTGACACAAGTGTCTAATTTCATTTAGCATAGTGAAAATTATGCACACAACACTGACCCTTAAGTTTCTCTCTAAACAAAATGTTTTGACCTGCCCCATGCACCCCTGTTATGTTCCAGAACTCCACCTGTTTTGGGGGTTCTTGGGAGGATGAAGGGGACAAAGTGGGTGGCCCCTGGGTGAGTCACTATTTACAGATATGAGTAATGGGCGAGGGGGGTAAATTTTGTGAGTTAGTACGTTGTTCTAGAGTGAAAGATGCTCCATCTTGAAGAGCTGATGAGCCGCTTCAGTGGCACAGAAGACTCATAGTAATTTTGCAGTGAAAATCTGTCACTACATGATGTATTTTAACCATGTGGCCATGAGGAAATGTCTGGATGTATCCTCTGATTATTGTGTGGTTCTTAACAGTTTCATCTACAGACTTGTTTGGACCCCTTCATGATTGTTCAAAGAGTCCTTTTACCCCTTCGCTCCCCCTTTCCTTTTTTCACCTTGTGGGCTGCCTTTAGTAACAGGGAGAGATGATACTGATGTCAGTCTGTTTGCACAAGGCAGATGGCCCTTTATTACATGGAAGCTCTGATCAGACTCGGGACTCCCACAGGAGGTTCACTTGTGTCTCTTAACAGCCATGTGTAGCTCTAGAGTCAGGCTGAGCTTTTCTGTGCCACGTAAACTGCTGTAAGTCCAAATATTATTTTCTTTCTCCAGCATCAGTGTTGGCAAGGTGTTAAACGACACACACATGATATTCTCTCTCCCTCCGGGACGCAAAGAAGCCAAGAGAGTTTGCATAAGCACTGCTGAGCGTAAGTGCTCATCACCAGTGACGCTATACTATGTCTCACTACCATCATGTATTAATATTAGACCAAACAGCTCCTGGGCCAGGTAATTTTTGCATACTTTTACATTTTATATTTTTGATTAAAATTCAGTCCACTGAGGTGATATTAATTTGACTGGCTTTGAGGTAGCTGCACTGACTTTGAAAAAGCTCCATTCATGTTCACCAACTAGGCTTCTAACCTAATAAATCTGTTGTAACCCTTCATGTGCCAGGAATGAATTTTAACCCAATGAACTGAAATAGTTTACTGTGCAAAGATGAATACTTTATTCTGTATTTGTGCTAAATTACAAAACTCCTGTTTATTTAACAGTCCTTAATAGTAAATGAAAAATAAACCACAGAGCTAGAGTTGAATCTTATCTATAAGTGGCAGGTAGTATAAACATATTCAAGTATATTTTGATTTTTCCCTCCAATTTATTTTAGTTAAACTGCTGGTTTTCCTTTCTGTTCCCTGTGATAGAGCTGAGCCCCTCCAGTTCCTGTTAAGGACAAGCAAGCTTTAGCTCATAATCTAGCCCTTAGTGAGCACATCCGGTTAGTATTTGAATGGAGGAAAATATATGAACAAGCTAACAAGGAATATGCATCTGCAAATTATTACACTAGTTGTGGTTGACATTAGCAAACAAGATTTTCACTGATGTTGTAAACTATTTTACACTTAAATACTTTTAGAATATCATTGTATAACTAGAGAATCTGGCATGCAAATTACCTTGACATGCAACTTTTTATTTTCTCTGCTGTACCAAGGCAAATTGTTGTACATTCATTGTTAATTCTTTAATAAAAATTGCAAACATAAACAGCAAGAACAAGATGCACTCATAGGAAATCCCTGACATCATCTCTTCACTTTTTATTTTTACTTTTTTTTTTTTTTACAGTGGTGGTCGCAAAATAACTTTGTTTGGTAGAAATGTTAATGTAGCAGATGGTGTGGTTATTTCAGATGAACAGAGATCACATCTGAATGTAAGTCTTAACTGTCTTTGCAGTAACAAAATATGTGTTTTTAAAGAGACATGTTTCATTCTTAAGGTTGAAGGCCCCATTGTTCAAACACTTAAGCATACTCTTAATCTGAGGAGTCCCATTGAATCAAACATAGCTACTTGTCTGAATACAATTATATGCCTGGCTTTACACACAGCAGGCTTAAAATAGTCAATTTCCCTGCACAATTCTCCAGTCTCCTCTTTCAGCTGTAAAGAGTCTCAGCCTCTCCCCATATATCTTGAAAAGCTTCATGTTGTACCAGCCCTCTGCCTCTTCAGTGTAGATGCAGTGTCAAAACAGTTTGTGGCAGTTAGTGTGGCTGATGCTTAAAAGAGCAAAGGCCTCTAAGACAGAAGCTTTTAATAACAGAGTACAAAGATTCTTAAAAAAAAGGCTTAGCAGAAGCCTGTGTGATAACAGCAAGATTTCAAATGACTTTGGGTGCCTTGGAGTACTTCATCAGGGTCACAGTTTTCTTGTTGGTTTTCTAGGTCTCAAGTTACCCTGAAAATACTACTTGGTGTCATTTTCTAGCACCAGCAGTTAGCCATGCAAAAGCAAGTAAAATTGTCGATGTGCTCTTAAAAGTGGAAAATGTCCACAAACCATGTATTAAGTTGCAATATCATCCTGATCCTGTATTCATTAGCTACCAACTGCAAACTGAGATGGACCCTCATCTGGAGTTAAAGTTATATGTAAGTTTAAAAAAACAAACAAACCAGTAAATATACGCTTACTTTTCACATATGATAGTGTTAAATTTTGCCAGGTTTTGTATCTGTTTTTCATTTTTAATTTCCAGAAAGAAAATGACAACTTAGACATTTCCAAAAATGAGATTGAAGTTTTTCTCCAGTATGAGAGTGGTTCACATTTGAGAACCATACATTTCAGTGTTCAAAATATTACCAAAAACCCGAAACGCAGTACTGTTCTGTGCAAAGGCAAAAGGGAAAGTCAAGACAAAATTGATTTTTCTACAGTGAAAATTTACGTAAGTAAAACTTCCTTTTTCAGTGATTTTGATATTGCTCATTTTTTTTATGTTGATAAGAAACAGATGATCATGAATATAGTTTACAAATGAAATTATACATAATGTTTTAAGCTTCCTGACCTGAAGTTTGCATCCTGCCCTGAACTCTGGGCTCCTGCAGCTAGACTGCTCTTGGTGCCTGAGCTGACTCATTTAAACCTAACTTGGGCAGATCACTTCTGACTGCAGTGTAGACATAACCTTCAGAAATACCCTTTGTCCCTGGAGGAAGTGTGGAAGTGATGGAGTGGATCTACTGCTGTAGTGTGATAGGGAAGAGGTTTCTGCCCTCCCATTCACCTTTGCCCAACCCTTGCCAGATGGGGCAACTGACAACCGATGCCCAGGAAAAAGCGAACTTGCTAAATGGGTACTTTGCATCAGTTTTTCACCATCCCATGGGATGCCCCTGTCCTCTGTGGGACAGGGAGGCCTGTGTGTGGGAGATTCCTTGCCCTCCATCAAAGCTGACTTTGTGAAGGAACACCTTGACAGGCTGGACACCTTCAAGTCAGCTGACCCTGATGGGTTACACCCAAGGGTACTCAAGAAACTGGCAAGCATCATAGCTCAGCCCCTGGCATGGATCTTTTAAGAGCTCTTGGCGCTCTGGTGAAGTGTCTGGAGATTGGAAGAGGGCCAATGTGGTGCCTATCTTCAAGAAAGGGAGGAAAGTAGATCTGGCAAGCTACAGGCCCATCAGCCTGACCTCTATCTTGGGGAAGGTCTTGGAAAAGATTATCAAGGAGACCATCCTTAACAGACTAGCTGATGGCAATCTCATTTCTTTTTATGACCAGGTGACCTATCACCTGGACAAGGGGGAAGAGATCGACGTCATATACCTCAACTTTAAAAAAAGCCTTCAGTCTGGTATCACATGATCACTTCTTGGCTAAACTGGCTAGCTGGGGCCTCGACCTCACCACAATCTGCTGACTGGGGATTTGGCTCCGTGGTCAGACCCAGAGGGTGGTGGTTGACGGAAGTCAATCGTCTTGGTGCGCAGTCACCAGCGGGGTCCCTCAAGGCTTTGTCCTAGGGCCTATACTATTTAACATCTTCATCAATGATGTGGACATTGGTGTCAGAAGCAGACTGGCCAAGTTTGCCCATGACGCCAAACTCTGGGGTAAAGCAACCACACCTGAGGACAGGAGGGTGATCCAGGCAGATCTTGACAGGCTCATGAAATGGGTGGATGAGAACCTGATGGTGTTCAACACCGAAAAATGCAAGGTTCTCCACCCTGGGAGGAAAAACCTGCAGCATGCTTATAGGCTCGGCAGTGCTACACTGGTTAGCACTATGGATGAAAGGGACTTGGGGGTCATGATTGACTACAAGATGAACATGAGCCTTCAATGTGATGGTGCAGCAATCAAGCAAGCAAAACTCTGGCTTGCATCCATAGATGCTTCTCAAGCAAATCCTGGGACGTCATTCTCCTGTTGTACTCGGCCTTGGTGAGGCCGCAACTGGAGTATACTGTGTCTGGTTTTGGGCTCTACAATTCAAAAATGATGTGGAGAGGCTTGAGAGGGTGCAGAGGGGAGTCATGCACGTGATCAGAGGTCAGGAAAACAGACCTTATGATGGGAGGCTTAGAGCCATGGGACTCTTCAGCCTGGAAGAGCACAGGCTCAGGGGTGATCTGATGGCCACCTATAAGTTTATCAGGGGTGCTCATCAAGATCTGGGGGAACGTCTCTTCACCAGAGTGCCCCAAGGTATGACAAGATCAAATGGTCACAAACTCCGCCACAACTGATTCAGGCTGGACATAAGAAGGAACTTCTTTACTGTCTGAGCCCCCAAGGTTTGGAATAGACTGGCGCCGGAGACGATTCAGTTACCCACTTTGAATGCCTTCAAGACACATTTGGATGCTTATCTTACTGGGATCCTATGATCCCTGATGACTTCCTGCCCCTGGGGCAGGGGGTTGGACTCGATCCTCCGGGGTCCCTTCCAGCTCAAATGTCTATGAAATCTTGCACTCCACTTGTGTGGACCAGGGGGACTAGGACAAGAGAGAAAACAAAAGATTTGTGCACAGGAATAGAGGTAAAAGCAAAATTGCGTTGGATTCACAAATATATGATGTGGAGCAAGGCCAGTTCAGAGTAAATATGTTAGCATGGATAACAGAACTAAATGCCACCTTAACAGGTCTGCTGTATAAATAAAGTGATGATGTGAAATTTTACAATGCAGTCACCATTCATGGGGGAGAGAGAAATTATGCCAGATTCTCATTTCTGTTGCAGTGATATAAAATTGAAGTAATGCTGTTGACTACAAGGCATAGGAGAAGTAGTACAACTTCGTGGAGTTGCTCTCAGTGTTGCTGGTGGCAGAGCTGTTGAAGTGTCTTGCTACAATTATGCAGGAAGGAATGGAAGTGGAAATAGAGGGGGGACAAGAAAAAAAAAAAGTGGGAACCACTCTGTACTACCTATTAGGTGATGGACAGATGCAACTTCTGAATAGTTTCCAATGCTGCTGCATTTAAGCATTTCGGAAAAGGAGCACATCAGCTGCAGAGAGATGTACAGTCCCCCTGATCCACCCTTTGGTCCAAGTGTTTGAAAATCATTATGACTGCATGCAATGGTGTGGTGTTCTCCATCAGGGGATGCAACAGGGGTTGCTTTGTTTGTTGTTTCCATACATCGGGCTAGAAGAGCAGGGCAGGTAGAGAGGGGTGCAAGGAACTGTTATCTTCAGCCCCAGAGCTGATGAGAAAAATTCCTTGCATGGCTGTCCACATCCAGAGATGGCTGAGAATGGCCATGCCCCCTCCTCCCCACCCACTGGAACCGTGAGACCTGAGGCAGAAGGGTACACATAAGGATTCCTGTTGTCTAGCCCCTGTGGAGCACTGTTGGACACACTGTCATGCTCTGTAAAGTGGGTACCCCTAACAGTAACTTTTGAATAGGCATGCATTGGGGCGTGGGATGGGGTGGTGGTATCTTTTATTAGATCAATGGCATAGTTGGAATAAAGGTAGCTTTTGAATGCAATGCATTCTTCACTCCAATAATCACTCTAACAGCACTGTAACTTTTGAATAGTAATTTTGTAGCACTTTCAATTAGTTGTTGTTTCTTCCATGGTTGTTTTTGGAACATTTCAACCATTTTTGGAGGGCTTCACAGTGTGTGTATGTCTTTCTGCTCATCCTTTCAGGTTCTTCAAATATCACAGCTGTCAAGGGTAATAGATTACTGGAGAGGTGCCAGTGCTATTGAGGTGACAGAAAAGCTGGAATCCTGTTTTATTTTTTATCCCCAAGTGGCAGGTACCCAGGCACTTGATCGCTATTTTTATCATTTACACACAGTTTGAATTGCTATTCCCTTCACGCAGCTACTGTACATGGTCAGTAGGCTGTGCTGGTACACATGTAGGTCCTGAAACTCCAGCCTGGTGAGGAGGAGAGCAGGCCCTCCCCTGTTTTAGCCAGTCCAGGAAGCAAGAGACCCACATTTTAGGCCCTGCTTATTTAGAGATTTTTAACTTTTCCCTCTAGCTTTCTGGCATAGTGCTCTAACCACCAGGCCATAGGTCAGGTACTACTGAAGCCCTCTGTAGACTTCCTCTTGAAGGTGAGCCAATGCACTTTGTATTTAGTCATTAGCTCAAAGGGATAAAGGACAGTACTGTGGGGAAAGTTTCTGCCCCATAGGGATCTCCAGGCTATCAACCCAGCGTCTGTTTCCTTCTGGCAGAACATTTTCACACTGATCCATATTATCTCTAGCTTGAGGAAGGGGGGCGGGGGCAAAATATGCCCTGTGGGCTGGATCCAGCCTGCCAACTGATTGGATCTGGCACATGGGGTGCATGGGCCACTTCGTAGTTTCATAGTTGATAGGGTCAGAAAGGGCCTAAGCAGATCATCTAGTCTGCTATGGGCAGGAAAGGATGCTGGGGTCAAGTAACCCAAGTAGGTGGCTGTCTAGCCTCCTTTTGAAGACTCCTAGGGTAGGGGCAAGCACCAGTTCCCTTGGAAGTTGGTTCCAGGCCCTAGCTGCCCTGACAGTGAAGTAGTGCCTCCTGATATCTAGCCTGAATCTACTCTCTGCCAGCTTGTGACCATTATTCCTCATTACCCCGGTAGTGCTCTGGGGAACAGGGACTCTCCCATTGCCTGTAGGTCACCCTTGGCAAGTTTATAGACAGCCACCAGATCCCCTCTCAGTCTTCTTTTGTGGAGACTGAACAGGTTCAGGTCCTGTAGCCTCTCCTTGTAGGTCCTGCCCTGCTGCCCCCAATCATGTGAGTGGCCCTTCTCTGGACCCTCTCAATGCTGTCCACATCCCTCTTGAAGTGGGGCACCCAGAACTGGATGCAGTATTCCAGCTGTGGCCTGACCGATGTCTCATAGAGGGGGAGGATCACCTCCTTGGTCCTGCTCGTGATGCATCTGCGGATGCGTGACAAGGTGCGGTTAGCCCTACTGACTGCGTCCCCACATGGGCAGCCCAAGTTCATCTTGGAATCAATAGTGATTCCAAGATTCTTCTCTGCCTCTGCACTGACGAGAAGGGAGTTCCCCGGCCTGTAGGTATGCTGCTGGTTCTTCCTCCCTGGGTGCAGCACCTTGCACTTGTCTGCATAGAAACCCATCCTATTCTCATCCTCCCACCTCTGTAACCTGTCAAGATCTAGTTGTAGCCTGTCCATCTCCTCTAGCATGCTCACTTCTTCCCGCATCTTAGCATCACCTGCGAATTTGAACAAGGTACTTTTCACCCGCTTGTCCAAATCGTCGATGAAGATGTTGAACAGTGCAGGCCCGAGGACCGAGCCCTGGGGAACCCCACTGCCCACATCTCTCCAGGTCGAAAATGACCCATCCACCACCACTCTCTGGGTGCAGCTCTCCAGCCAATTTGTGACCCATCTGACTGTGTGGGCATTGACACCACAGACGCCTAATTTTTTAATGAGGATGGGGTGAGAGAGAGTGTCGAAGGCCTTCCTAAAGTCCAGGAAGACTACATCCACTGCAACACCTGCGTCCAAGGCTTTTGTGACCTGGTCATAGAAGGCCACCAAGTTGGTGTGACAGGACCTGCCTCTAATGAACCCATGTTGATTGCCCCTAAGCATAAACTCCCCTGCTGGCCCCTTGCAGATGTGCTTCTGGATAATTTTTTCAAAAAGCTTCCTCAGGACCAAGGTAAGACTAACGGGCCTATAATTTACTGGGTCTTCCTCCATTTTTTTGAAAATAGGGACCACATTGGCCCTTTTCCAGTTGTCAGGCACCTCACCAGAGCACCATGAGTGCTCGTAAAGCCATGCCAGGGGTCCTGCAATGACCTCTGCCAGTTCCCTAAGCATTCTGGGGTGGAGATTGGCAGGACCTGCTGATCTGAACACATCTAGTCCCTCCAGAAGTTCCTGGACTAGGTTCTCACTGACCCTGGTCCTGGCTTCACCTCCCCTGGGTCCATCCGGAATCCCAGTGGGGGGATGTCCCTGTCCCTGCTCAGTAAAATGGAAGCAAAGGATCTGTTAAAGAGATTACCTTTGTCATCTGGTGCTACCACCAGATTATCAAGCATGTCCTGCAGATGCCCCACAGTATTTGGCACCTTCTTTTTACCCCCTGTGTATTTAAAAAAGGACTTCTTGTTATCTTTGATCTGGGTCGCTAGTCCCAGTTCCATCTCTGCCTTAACCTTCCTAATAGGCCCCTTACAATCTCGAGCCAAGGAAATATAATCCTCCTTGGTGATGGCCCCTCCCTTCTATTGGGTGTACGCCTCCTTTTTGGCTTTGAGGCATTCGTGGATGCTTTTGGTGAGCTATGGGGGCTTTTGAGCACTCCTGCCTTCTTTGATCCATGTGGGGATTATCACACTTTGGGCTTGGAGGATAGTCTCCTAAAGGAATGACCACTCTTCTTGGACACCCAACTCCCCTCCCCTTCAGGACCTCAATGCCTCCCTGACTAGTCTTCTTACCTCATTGAAATCCGCCCTTCTGAAGTCCAGGGGTGCTGCCTTGCTGCAGGCCTTTGACACCCTGCGCTGGATGGTAAATTCCAGTGGGTGACGATTGCTATCGCCCAGGTGGTTGAGTACCCATAGTCCCCTCACCAGGTCATCGCCTGTAGGCAGGACCAGGTCCAGGTCCAACAAGGCATTTCCCCTGGTGGAACTGATTGGATCCAGCCCATGGCTGACCCTGCAATGCTTTGCATGGGGCCAAACCCTGCCCGGGGCAGTCAGTGCTGTGCTCCTGCCCATGTCCGCCAGCCCTGGTCCTGGCCAGCATGCACCGCTTACCAGTAGGGCTGCTCCCAGTGCAGCTGCAGCTGCGCAGGTACTACTCAGCTCCCCTCACCTCCAGTGGTGGCTCCTCCTGCCCCTGCTGCACCACTCCAGGTAGGGAGGAAGCTTCAGCCCAGCAGCTTGTGCACCAGTATGCGGGGCTTCAGCTCTAGCTCCTGGCTGCATTCTACCCACTCTGCCCTTTCTTCTGGCTCCATATATCTCCCTCTTGGCTGCCCAGGGACCAGCTTCATGGAATGCTGGTTGGAGCATTATGCTGGGAAGTTTAGAGAGTTGTAGGTTCAAACCTGCTCTGGATGAGGGGAGCTAAGAACTTGGGTCTTCCACTTCTGGGTCAAGTGCCTTACCACTTGACTGTTGGGCTCAAACCAAGGAGATGCCACCTCCTTTTCTGGTGTTTAAAGCTTGCTAATTGCAAGTTTTTGCCGGGTAGAATTCCATGACCTGCGCTCATCCAGCCTAGGCTGCATGCCTTCCTGGCCAGTGCTCAGCCTGCTATATATGCCCGTTGCACTTCCGTGCTGCGTGTGGAGCAGGGTCACAAATGGTACATAAGTGCCAAAAATAGCAGTTATGTGGCTGGGTAACTGCTGTTTGGGTGCACAAAGTCAAATGGGATTCTGCCCAAAGCACTGCTTTTTTTTTGTTTCCCATAACAGAGAATCACAGGGTACATTGTTTAAACAGTCTTAAAAAGGGCTACGTTGCCAAAAAAAAGTTTTGAGAACCATTGTTTAAGAGTGTAGTTTTTCCTTTGATTTGATTACATGTGTGTAATCAGCATTGTATGTACACTTGGAACCATTTATCTGCCCTGTGATAGGCAAGTGATTGAGAGAAACTCTGCCTTCCATGCTGTGACTTAAAGTAATTCCAGCCTTGACAGTGTATCTTTCAATTATCCCAAGGTCATTTCTGTTCCATGCACTCATTGGTTTTCCTGTTCTCCGTGAAAGTGTATTTTTTCCACAGGTCTGCTTGTAATCTTGGCTACTCTTTACTTCTGTGTCTTCACAGTCCCTTTTAATTATCCTTTGTTACAAAGTTTCTCTTACTCTAATTATATGTGGTAAATACCTCAGCTTAGCAGACTAGTATTTTGATGCCTTCACAATAATTCCTCACTGTTCATCTGTCCAACAGCCCTAGTTGTGGATGTTGTATATCCGGTTACAACTTGATATGCAGTTCACTACCTGGTATACAAGATTTGAACATCTGCAAAGAGGAGAAAGATTTGACTGCAGTGCAAGGCTTCTACCAGAAATGTTGTTTTCCTTGTTGTTCACTTGAGCCTTACATTGCTTTTCTGCTTACTGGGATGTCATTGATGAGTGCAAAGAACAGTCCTGGACTGTGAAAACTTGGCTTTATTAATTTTGAAAATGCCTTCCCCCCCCCAATAATCCTCATAAATTCAGGATATTTGGTTAGTTTGAGACCAGATTCTGCTTTTGTGTCCACAGTATCGGGGTGCTCAGTAGGGTTGTGTGAAACACCGTCATTTCGTTTCGATGTCCGTTTCGCCATTTTGAAGGGACAGTGTTTCATTTCATCACTTCATTTTGTTTTGAAGCACTGTCCCATTTCATTGAAACTGTTTCACTGTTTTGATGCATTTCAACATTTCACCCGTAGGCTATAACAGGGAATCATGAAAATGCCTAAAACTTGGTCATTTTTTCCCTGATTTGGATGAAAACTGCAGGGATGGTAGCCCCTTCTGAGGGCATGAAGCCTGCCAGGTTTCAAGGAGATCCAGGGGCCTGCAATCGTGGGAGGGCTGCGGAGCTGTGCCAGACTCCTCCTGGGAGTGCAGACCCCCGGATCTGTGCGCCGGATGAGAGGAGGCTGCCGCCAAGGACCAGCACTGGGCACAGCCTGCACCCAGCACTGGAGAAGATTGCTGCTGCCTCCTTGGACAGCAGCCTCTTCTCATCTGGCACACAGATCCGGGGGCTTGCACTCTTGCGAGGAGTCTGGCACAGCTCCACAGCACTCCCAGGGGTACGAGCCCCCAGAACTGTGCCCAGATAAGGAGGATGCAGCAATCTTCCCTGACACAGGGCGCAGGCTGCAACCACCGCTGGTCCCAGGTGGCAGAGGCACCCTCCTTTCACCCTGCATGCAGATCTGGGAGGGTTGCACCCCCAGGAGGGCTGCTGGGCTGTGCTGGACTCCTCCTGAGGTTGCAAGCCCCTGGATTTGTGCACTAGATGAGGAGGCTGCCGTCTGGGTGCAGCCCACACCCAGCATTGGTCTCAGGTAGCAGCGGTAGCCTCCTCTCATCCAGGGCACAGATCTGGAGGCTCACACCTGCAGGGGGGTGCCAGGAAGTGCTGGACTCCTCCTGGGGGTGCGAGCCCCTGGATCTGCACGTTGGATGAGAGGCGGCTACCGCAGCCACAGCCGCTGCCGCTTGGGATAGGAGACAGCAGCAGTCTTCTCCGGTGATAGTAACAGCCCGCACCCAGCACCAGTCTCAGATGGCAGCGGCAGCCTCCTCTCATCTGGGGTGCAGATCTGGGGGCTTGCACCCCCAGAGGAGTCTGGCACAGCCCTGCAGCCCTCCCGGGGGTGCAGGCTCCCAGATATGTGCACCAGATGAGAGCAGGCTGCTGCTGCTGCTGCTGCTGCTGCTGCTGCCGCCTGGGGCCATCATTGAAGCCAAGAAAGCCCAGCTTCGAAACTTGAAACATTTCAAAACTTTTGAAACATTTTGAGTGCCCTTGTTTTGTTTTGAAGCTGTTTTGAAGCCTTTTGTTTCATTTCGATTTCACTGTTTTGAACTCAAAACACATTGAAACAGCTTTGAAAAGAAACACCCAGCAAAATTTCACACAGTCCTAGTGCTCAACCCTTGCCTGTGGGCCAGATCCAGCTCACGGAGCCACGTCTTCTGGCCCACAGGGCTCCCCACAGGTCTAAAGATTTGGCAGTGGTGGCGGAGTGGCAGTGTTAATTGCTGCTTCCCAGCTGTCAAATTTCTGGACCCATGGGAGCCCTGTGGGAAGATAGCATAGCCCTACAAGCTAGATCAGGCATATGGGGCCAGGGCAGCACAGGACCCAATCTGGGTGCATGAGGCCCAGACAACACAGGGCTCAATCCAGGAGGCATGAGGCCCCATCTGACTGATGCAAGGTGGGATCTAGTCACATGGGGCTGGATCCAGGAGGTGTAAGATGGGGTCTGGGTGCCCAGGGCCTGAGCCAGGTGGCATACAGCAGGATTTGAGTGCACAGGGCCCACCCCTTGTGCTGGCCCTGTGCCACTTATTCAGTCGGTGGGTCCAAGAAGTTGAGCTCCACTGCACTGTATCCTTTTTGATGCGACTTGTTTGAAGTAAGAATGATGGGAGAATTTGCTCCTTTTGCATGTTTTTCCTAGCACTGTTTTCTTCCTTTGGTTTAGCATCAAATGCATTAAGTCTGGATCGGTTTGTTTGCACTTTTTTATATTTCTGCTCCCTTCTCACTGATTATTATAGCTAAGGGCCTTGAGTCATTGCTTTATCCAATGAATATTGTTTTCTACAAACATGGCATACAGTGTTTGCATTCTACTCATACAATTATATATTTTTCTACTAGGTCAAATTAGGAAACTTAAACCATGAAGTCAAAGCAAAATCATCACACATGTATTTGTATGTGCTTATTTTGCTCCCTGTCTTACTCCTGGCTGTAATTGTAGGTAAGTACAATTACATGTTTTTAATTTTGGACTTGCTGAATGAGATAGTGAGTGTGGGAAAGGAGGAGGTATAATGCAGGATAGTCACCAGAAGTCTAATATTTTCCCTGGGTTCAGTTGGGAACTCAACCTTTACTCTGATAGTAATATCCAACTTCATAGGTGACAGACTGTTATAAAAGCTTGTCTTACCAGTCTGCTTCTCCAGAGCATCCACCACCATTTAGTCAGGCAAGATCTAGGAACTACATTTCTGCAACATAATTTGATCCGTTCCAGTTGTCAAGCAATCCTTCTGTGTTCCCCAGGAACAAGTGGTCCTGCCTCATCATTTGTCAGCAGTGTTTGTGATCAGTCTCATTAGAAGATCCATGGATTTGTAGTTTATAGTTGGTTTGAAGGCCAGAAGTATTTTCTCTTCCACACTTAAGCTTTTTGATTCTGTCACATTTTAATGTACCTTATATTGTAGTAAGAGGAGTGCTTATTGGCTCTTCCATTGTTTGGGGTTCTTAATACGTGCAATGCACATCAGCCTTTCAGAAACCTGCTCTTGAAACAGGTTTTAGATAAGTAAAACATCCGTAAATTCATTTTCTTGCGCAAAATAATGCTCTCTTGTTAAATCAAAGCAAGTTTAAGACTCTTGTCCACTGTCTGTCAGAGCCTGCATCTTAGCATGCTCATCATTCATAACAGAGTATGTTATGTGTTAAAAGAAAATTGGACTGATAATTGCAAAAACTAAATAGAAGGAGTGAGTCTTATTAGTAGTGCCTAGCACAGTGTCATCTCAGGTTGTGATGTCTGGGGCTCTGTGGGTGCTACAACAATACAAATAATAATAGTGACAATGCAAAAGAATGGTTCTATAGATAATCTTTTTTCAGCCTCTTACAATGAAATGAAAATGAGTGCATCAGTATATATTCTGCATCTTACTATACTTAATATTGAATATGTTTTTTTTTTAGTGGCATTCATAGTAACTAGACGTAAATCCAAAGAGTTAACCCATAAACTGAGTGAACAACTTGAACTGCTGGAATGTGAGCTTCGGAAAGAAATACGTGAGGGTAGGTCTGCACAGCCTTTTTTTAATCAGTGTATGTTCTCTGCACTGGAAGCATCATGGAGAGACTTGCACTGTACAAATGTTTTATGTTGCACAAACTCCAAAAACATATATAGACTTTTTTTTTTTTTGCATTATGACAGTCAGAGACGCTTTACAATGGTATTATGCACTGCAGTAACAGTTAGCACTAGAAGCTAATAACACTGAAGGCGTGCCTTCACAAGACATTTACTGCGGAGTTGGCTAATTACCTGCACAGTACAACATCACCATCTACACGTGTGGTGCTATTAGGGCAGAGTAAACACAAGTACTATCCTATAGCGTAGTTCACCCTACCACAGTGCACATGTAGATGCTGATGGGGCTGACCGGGGCACAAGGGTGCTTCAGTGCAGAGGCTACCTGGCAGCTAGCCCTGAACTGAAGCACCCTCATGCTCTAGCCAGCCCCTCTGCAGCATGCTGAGCTGGGTTGGAGCAGCCTCAGGCTGGCAGGCTGCCAGCTGGGGCTGCTGTGACCCAGCTCAACATACTGTGGTCCTTGGCGCGTAGTCAAACATGGTGCCAAGGAGCAATAAACTGGTGTGAACTGTGCTGGAGTTTATTCAGGTGAATTAATTGCACATGTAGATTTGCCTTGCTTATAATAATAATTTGTTTTGGCAAAACTAGAAGTAAAATAAATACACCTAATCAACATTTTCCAACTCTGAGAGATTTAGCTAGAAAAATAATGCATCAAGCCTTAGAAAAGTTTTTAAGAACATATTTTTAAGGTCAGATTGAAAGCTGTAATTACATAGATAAAATTCTGCTTATCAGAACTAATGCTCTGTGTGGGGGGGGTGTTGTTATTTCAGGATTTGCTGAACTGCAGATGGATATGTCAGATGTGGTGGATAGTTTTGGAACTGTTCCCTTCCTTGACTACAAACATTTTGCTCTTAGAACTTTCTTCCCAGAGGTAAAAGATTGCCGGTCTTTCAGGCATCACCCTTGTAATGAAAATGATAACTTGAGTAAGGCACAAATAGTTAATTTAAATACTACACTGTAGTTGTACATCCTTCTCACAGCTGACTTCATATACTGTTCCTAAGCCAATAGAATAGTGTTGCACTAATTCTATAGGGGAACATTTAAACATGTTGCTCTTGGGTTCTATGTAACTTTTTCTTCATCAAATCTACATGTTGAATTAAAATAACCCCAGTGTCCCTTTAATGTATTCAGGAATTCTGTGTGCTCTGTAACTTTCTCATTGTCTCACCTTGCTCCACTGTCATTAGACTCTACTAAGTCTACGTTTTGTCCATTGCTTTTTCTCGCTCATACTTGTCTGCAAAAGTAAATTAACACAGCCAATTCATTTAACGTGTTTAACTGACAAGTCTTCCTCATTCAGTCAGCAAGATGCTAATGAGGCCTTCAAGTTCATAGAGTCATAGAAAATTAGGGTTGAAAGGGACCTCAAGAGGTCATTTAATCTAACCCCCTGCTCAAAGCAGGACCATCCCCAACTATATCATCCCAGTTCTTACTCTCCCTCTTGCACTTGAATAGTTTCAATTCATTAAAATTAAGAGTAGGAAATGGAAAATCCCAAATCATGTTGTTGTTCTGTTTCAGGCTGCTGATTCCCATGCCAGAAAAGTTGAGAGAAGTGACAGTGGCCTCAATTCAAGATAGCAGTAAGCACATGCTAGACTTTAAGCATGTGCTTACATGCTGTCCTAACTACTAGGGATGGACTTAAGCAGGTACTTGAGTATTTTCCTGAACTGGGGTTAGAATTATTTCCTGGGTGAAGCCCCTGTTCCCCCTGCAGGGCCAGGCTCAGGCCAGGCTGCCCCCCACCCCACACTAGCCCTGGGTGTTGGATCAGAATCACCGTCTGGCCTGTAGTCAAACCAGGCACTGCCCATCTATCCCTCCAGGGAAAAAGTTTGAGCCTCACTGTGTTATATGGTTTGCTCTGAGGGGAAGATGGCCCTTCACTAGCATCCTGAAATGTTCCACGTTCTATTCCATCTAAAAGCTTACTCCATTTCCCCCATATTATGGTTGTGAGTTGAAACCTGCAGACATGCATAGGTGCATGTTGAAAAGCATGTGGTTTTCCCTTGGAATTAATCTTTATCTCTTGTTATCACCTCAGAATACAAAATACCCTGACAGGGGTCACGTCCACCTCTAGTACCAAGGTTGCAATCATGAATCATGTATACATGTACTTTCCTTTTGTGAGTAACCCCGTTGAAATAGGACTGCTTGCTATGATAAAATTAAGGACGTGTGTTTGCAGTATCCTTGCCCCTTTTTTGTACAGTACCTAGTACAATGGGATCCCCAAATTGATCCTCTAGCATGAATGTGAGTAATCATAACACATTCTGATGCTGATATTGATCTTGCACCAAAATAAATCAAGAATAATTCTACTGAAACCACTCAAGTCACACCGGTCTAATTAGTGTTAGATTATAATGAGGCTCTTGTTTCAAGAATTCTGCCAACAGTGTCATACGTTCTGCATTTCTTTTCCTTTTGTTTTGTTACCAAGGTGATTATCAAAATATTATCTTTATTTTTAGGATTTCAGATGTTCCTTCTGTATACTTCACACCTAAAATCATAATCATCTTGCAAAAGCAGTATTTTCTTTCTATATTGTTGGAAATGTGGAAAAAATGAAGGAAGAAAAGAAACAGAAAATACATTACTTTACAAGCCAAAGAGATTTCAAATAGATCATTTGTCTGTTTTGTATGAACTATAAGAAAAGTTTAAGCTACTTTAAGCTCTGATAAGATTTTGGTGGTCAACCTGAAAAGCATTTAACACTGTGTGTTCCAGTTTTTCCGTCTAGAAAACTATTATTTATATTGTGGAAGCACCCAAAAAGTCCTTGGTGCTGTACAAAAGTTTTTGATGAGACAGCCTCTGCCAAATAGTGCTTACAGACCAAAAAAGAAAAAAAAAAGATGAACTGGGTAAAGTAGGGGAATGTCGCCTATAATCAAAATGATAAAGGTGACAACTGACACATGCCTTGATAACCTCATATATTTAAAACTATATGTGTGTTAGGGCCCATTGCAATTCCCAGCATCCTGTTACAAAATCCTTATCTAGTTGCAGTGGTTTAATATTAATTATTTACTGTGGCTTTATAGTCATTTTTTTTTATGTTCATGTCTTTTGGTATTCATTTAAATATGTAATATAAATGTGATCATATTATTCTTTATATTTAACCCTAATTTTTGCCCCACTTTGAAAACTTTGCTTATTTATTGTTGCCTTTCTCCTTTTCTCAAACCATTTTGTTTAGCACTGCTACATCTATTTCCTTTGGGCAGTGATTGTTAACTCTTCCTACCGTTGCATTTTATTATTTCACATTGCCCCTTAAATTAAATTTTTTTTTTCCTGTTGGGTGGGCACCTTAAGGAATAAAAGCCTTGGAAATGGAAAAGTGAGGAAAAAGGGAGCAGGTAATGGGAAAGAATTGCTAAGAATGGGAAAGAAAAGAGAGTGGGGATAAGATGGGGATGAAGAACAGGAGTTTGGCAAGATACAATGTATAGGGAGAGTTGTCTGCGTTAGAGAAAAGTGAATAGCAGAAAAGTTAACAGGGTCTGTTTAGATGCCCAGCATGCTGATTTTGAGAGAGACAGGTTCTTGTCAGGACCTTGCAAACTGAAGGTTTGAGGCCCTGACTGCTATAATCTCTGGGAACCTGGGTGGTTGTCCTTGTACAGTCTGCTAATAGAGCTTACATCATGGTGGTGATGAGATGGAAGTAGGATCCAGTCTCTTCCTGGGCTTTTTCTAGAACAATATTTGATCACTGCACAAGGGTTATGGGAGATGAATTAAGAGTGTTTGCAAAGCACGTGGAGATTAATGAGTAGAAGATGTATGGAAAGTATTGGTACCTAATAAGATCAAACAAACTCTAAATCAGGGTCCTTGATAACTAAAAATGTCATACGGCTGCTACCAGTGCCACCCTAAAAATGCATTTGGGAGTGTCCTTGGGAAACCTAGAAGAGCAGCAGATTTCCATGCGAGAATAATGACCATAGAATGTTATGGTTGTGGCTGTGGTTCTGGGTGACCCCTACTGGGTTGTACTGGGGGCATTCAGCAATATATATGATCAGTCTGTTGCTATCTCAAGTGTAAGTTCCCCTTTGTAGTTCCCCTGAAGTGCAAAAGTGAATGCAGCAATATATCTGTAGTTGTCAAACCAAAATCTTCATTACTTTATATCCAAGTGTCTTCCAATGGATACATGCTTAGCATTTGTAAAGGTGTATGTGATTTATTAGAAACCTTTGAAATTCATAACAATATAACTAAACATCTTTTCTCTTAGCCAAAAACACTTGCAGCTCCCTTCACAGAAGACATGCACACTAGTGTACCGCCGGTAAGTTTGTGTAATTTAACGTTGGTCTTATTTAGTAGGTATTCTTTTCAGCCTACGTATGATCATGTTTGTCACCTTAGAATCTGAGGATGCCTATACACGTGCCTGGTGCCTACTCTGACATGTTCTAATTAGAATGCATTGGAGCAGACTCGATTAATCCAGTAGCCTCACTCCACTGGCCTCGATGTCACATGTATTTGGTGTCCTGCGCTTCAAAATGGCAGCGGGAGTGCTTTAACTGACTCTTATTTGACAAGCTTTAGTTAGCGTCCCCGCCATCATTTTGAAGCACAGGAACACTGTACACATGAGGCACTGCGGGCACTTTAATTAGAGCTGCTTTAATTAAAGCACCCCTCCCCAACTGCAGAGCACGTGTAAAGACACCTTGAATTATGATTCCAAAGTCATTTCATTTTCTTAGCATCCTTCCCAGTTTGGGAAAAAGTTGCATGGATTTACGTGTACAAGAGAATTCTATATATAATACCCTGTTTTTGTATAAACTGAAGGATATGCCAGACAGAGTTCAATATTAGTATATGTTGCCTGGTATGTATATAAATAAACATGAATATACTATGAGTAAAATCCTGCCCCTCTTGAATTCCATTTGTCTTGAATGGGGCCAGGATTTTATCTTAAATACTGCTTATTGTTCAGTTTCTAAGAATTAAAATCTATGACAGGGGTTTTCAATCATTTTTAACAAGTGTACCCCTTCTGTCTCAAAGTTTCAGCTCATGTACCCCTTTATATTTTTTGTTTTGTTTTTAAGGGGTGGAGGGGGGTGCAGATTGAGGCCCCCACAGTGAGGGAGGGAGTGAGGCTGGGGCAGGGGCAATGGCTGCACAGCTGGAATAGAGCGTGGGGTGGAGCTGCAAGCAGCTCGTCCAGGAGATGTGTAGAGGGAGGTGGCTCCCACTGCTGCACACTCCCCAGGAGCGCATGGGGTGGGGGTGCCCCTGGATCTACATGTGGGGTAGGCTGGGGCCAGAGCTGCACCAGGTTCTTCCTGGCTGGGGATGGGCCAGGCTGTGCTCCAGACAGGTGCGCCCCCCCCCCCCCC